CTGAAATGTTAAAAGGGCTATTATTAATTAAAAATTTAATATGGAAAAACTCCAAATCTGGTGGGTGAGGGCAGTCTCTACAGTACAACTGTCTAGTTTGGACATCTGTCCACCCAGTAGATTAACTGTGCATTCTTTTTTTTTTGAATGAATAGCTAGCATGTTCTGGAAACATTTTTATTTTTACTTTTCTTTTTTTTTCTTTTGGGGTCACACATGGTGATACTTAGGGGTTCCTTCTAGCTCTACACTCAGGAATTACTCTTGGCGCTGCTCAGGGTACCATATGGGATGCCAGGGGTTGAACATAGGTCAGCCTTGTACAAGGCAAACGCGTTACCCACTGGATTGTCACTTCGGCCCATAGCTGTGCATTCTTGCACAGCTTTATTTATTTACTCTCTCTGTAATTTCATTCTCTTGTATGTAAAATTAAAATAATAGTGCCTCTCCTTAAGGAAAACTGAGAGGACTAAATAAGTCATATTTATATGTGCTTTGGATAATGATTGGTGTACAGTAAGTCTTGAGAGTGTTGTTATTGTTGCTGCTACTTGCTATTGTTACTTTTGTTACAAAACACCTTTGTTTCCTCTCTTTTATTAAAGTTCCTCCTAATGAATGATTTCAAAAAAGAGAACAAGTAAATAGAATATACCGAATGCAGTGACGAAGACTTAAATATAGTTAAGTCAGAAGTAAAATAAGATGACTTGAGGGTCAGAGAAATAGATCAGTGGATAGGTTCAATCTTTAGCACTGCATAGTCCCTCAGATACTGTCAGGAGTGGCTCTCCAGGTACTGAGCCTGGGGCAGCTCCCAACCACCACCAGGTATGACCCCAAAACTAGAAAGAAATAAAAAGCAGCAAAACTTTTTGAAAGGAATGGTGAAATTTACTTTTTTGTCCAGAGTGACTGTCTTCTAGAACTCTTTGATTCTCCATAGCAATCACCTGTTTTCTCTGGCTCCAGAATGTAAAATTAATCCTAAGATAAATGCCATCATGTTAGTGTTTTTCACAGGTTCCTCCTCCCCACCTAGGACACATGCTGTTGGCTTATACTGAAAAATCTCCACAACAATGTGCCAGTCATTTAAAGAAAGTCTTGTGTTCCTCACGCATACTTCCAGTTTAGAGCAACCGACGTGAGTGCAAGAACTCTCCAGATTTCCTAGTAGATGTCATCCCAAAGCAACATGGCCATATTTTGGCTTATGTTTCAAGTTAGGATAGCATGGAATGTACACATGGTTTATAGAGACAAAGGAATAAATTACTGATGGAAATTAATTTGTTTTAGCAGAATATATATATATATATATATATATATATATATCATTCCTTATACTTTTGCTTGAGCAGGCGCCAGTAATGTCTCCATTCATCCCTGTCACATGAGATGACAGTGACAGTGACAGATCCCCTATACTATCTCTCTGGCCTCAGAAAGAGGGATATTTTAAGTAAAGAGACATTTTCAGTGTGATTTTTTGCTAACAGGTTATCTTGGATGCTTATGAGAGGTGAAAGGGGTAGTAAAATTCATTTTTTTAATTTATAGATTGTCTATCCATGAGTGTAAATTTCTAACCAAAAGAAGTATTGTTGTTTATGATTCTCCTTCCATGGTTGTTTCCCCTCCTTGTTAGTATAGACTGGTTTGATTTTTCAAGTGCTACCATCACAATCTATACTTACAGTAAATAGGTGATGGTGGCACTCAAGAACTTCTAGATTCAAAAGATCCGAAACCTTTGTCTAGTTCTAATGCTTATCAGATTGATAAATCAGATTATCAGATATATGATAAATCCAGGTAAATCGATTGAACAACTATAAACTTCTGTGCTCTTGATTATAAAACAAAGAAGTTAGACTGGGGGCTGGAGCAATAGCACAGCAGGTAGGGCATTTGCCTTGCATGCAGCTGACCCGGGTTCAATTCCCAGCATCCCATATGGTCCCCCGAGCATCACCAGAATAATTCCTGAGTGCATGAGCCAGGAGCAACCCCTTTGCATTGCCAGGTATGACCCAAAAAGTAAAAAAAAAGAAGTTAGACTGGACTTCACAGAGCAAGGAGAAGGAATAATTAAAGTGAATTAAAGCAGTGCATTCATAGGTGCTTGGTAAACTCTAATTAATACCCATTATTCTGATAATGGTTGCTCTACACCATTATCAGGACCTAGAAAAACAGTGCTATAAATAAATAATAAAAAAATAAAAAAGGTAACCCAGAGTTACCTTACTTCTGATAGTAATGTTTCACTTTAGTCAGTTTTGAATGCCCTTTACACCAATGCCAAAATGCATCCAATGCCCAAAGGAAGAATCTTGTATTCCAATATCTACAAAGCAGCAGGAGGTTCTCGTCACTATTTAGTTGGTAATATGAATGAATTAAGTAATGTACACTAGAACTGTTGCAGAGATAGCTCAATGCAGTAGAGCACATGCCTTGTATGCTCAAGGCCCTGAGTTTGACCCTGGCACTATATAACCCCACTTAAGCACTGCTGAGGTGACTCTGATGGCATTCAGGGCCCAAATGACACCACATCAGCAGTCCTTGGAACCAAATCATCAGGCCCCCATTACTGTTCTAAATATCAGTGGGAGTGATACTTGGAACCCCTCCATACCTTTAGTGAGGGTACCTGCCCCCAAAAAAGTAGGTTTTAGGAAAAGTAAAGCATAATTTTTTCATGCACTTGCCTTGTATTTGTCATAGTTTGAAGACTAGATAAGTAATCATTCCTCAATAAGAACTGGTTTCTTAATAGTTTTAGAGAATTTCTTTTTAATGATACAACACAAATGTTTATATGCAGTGGAATGTAGATAGCAAAGATGAAGATTAGCCAAGTCATCAATCAACATCCTATTTGTGCTTGGGAAAATCTCTAGTGTATTCAGTACCATGTTGATGACTTCATGATATACACGATCTTAAGGGACTATTGATTGAGCCCGAGACTCTGTTATAAATGCAGGATATAAAAATTTAATCATTTGTATGCATACTAATATAGAAAACTGATTGTATTCATCAAAGCATTTTTATACAGCAAAAAGTTTGATTTTAATCTCCAAACCAAGCAAAAAGTAAAGTCAGAATGAGGAATGGGGAATTGTCTGAATAACTTTGATCCATTGGGCTTTTTTCCCCAAATGGTTAAAAAAATAAATGAACCTCACTTTTCTTTTCTGCTGAAGAAGTGAGATATTCAGCAGAGCTGTTTGCCTTGTAGGCACACAAACACGAAGTGAATGTGTCTCTGATCTACCTATCCTGAAAGAAGTCCACCACTAGATTTTAACCACAGAAGCTGGTTTCAAAATCAGACTGTTTCCTTCCAGAACAAGCCATTTTTGATAGATGTTATTGCATCTTTTTGAGTGCTTCCATTTTTTTCAACTTCAGATGTGTGTCTATCCATATTCCCTTTACTGTCTTCTAGTCAAAGAGAATGGGACAGAGTTCTCTTTAGAGTCCATCAGTGATACTTTGGCTGCCAAAAATAGTGACAGGAGACATTCATTGTCCATCTACCCGATTTCTACAGCATCTGAAATTCTGCCTCTAAGAGTCTGTGACTCAAAACATAGGCCACTTCTTCAGAATTCCTGACATGTTACTGCTGCCACTTTCCCCTTACTTTAGAAATCATTTAATTCAATTTCAGAAAGGGGAGGAGTACTTTTCTAGTTACACAGATCAATCCAATTGTTTGTAGCTTCAGAATGAATTTTTAAACTTGTTGAACAGAAGCATACAAATCTCTAAAAGCAACTCAGATAGTATACAAAGCCTCCATTCATTGTGTAGGCAGAAAGGAATGTGGGTACCCGGCAGCTCTCTAAGGAATGTTCCTTTGGCGTTGACCGTTCTGCTAGGAACAAGGAGGGAAACACATATATAAAATGAATTTATAATGTCTCTGGATTCGAGTGGCAAAATGATAAGAAAAGTTGGCTGTTTAATATAAACTCTCAGTTGCATATTCCAGGCCTCCTCCCTTTGAGGTCCCTCCCACATCCACAGGCCTGGCCACCGTTTAGTGTGGAGTACAAAGTGACTGTTTATTATTATTGACTAGTGAGGCCTGTGCTCCGAAATTCATTCTGTCAACAGAATGTAAGCAAAGTTGGCATTTTAAAGCACCGCTCTTTCAGTCGCCGGGTTTTCTCAGGATTGCTATGCAACAGGATCAGTGCTGTAGTCCCCGGTTCAAGCTGAAAATGTTACACAGGAAGACATACCATGTAAAGGTCAGATTCTTCTACTCTGATAATTTTCTTGATGTGTTTAGATACCAGTGAGGTTGAATGTGTCACCTCTTAGCATAACTTTTATCATGGTCCTGTGAATTTTCCACCCATCCAGCCTAATGATAGGATGATATTTTAAATGGAAAATCTCACTAATCAATGTCTGATGCTCTGGCTCAGTGTCGCTCTAATACTGAGGCGAACTTAATGTCTCTTGTCAAGATATTCTCTCTGAGGCTAGAATTCCATGCATATGCTGGTGCATAGACATCAAGGACAGCCTTGTTTATTAGTCTGTCTTAAGTGTTCATGGTCAGAATCAACTCAGCAAATTATCATGTGTGTGGAATTATGGCTAGACCCATAGCCTACTGAAATTGGGTTGAAATGAGATTTTATGTCCTATTAATCTAGTAAAACAGCTTATTGTGTTTACTGGAAGAATACATAGCTTAGGGAATTTATGAAGTCATAAGTGTATTTCTAATCTAGTTTCTAATCTCAAGTAATAAATATATTGTACCTAGTAATATGCCCATTTTTTCCTACATCATAACATGAAACAACCATACGCCAAGGCAAATGGGAGGAACTGTATCTTCTTGTTAGCAGATCCCATTGAACTGCATATTTAATCAATAGTTTTTTTTAGTTCTCCAAATACTTTCATGGCTGGTTTCTTTTGTTTGGTAATTGTGCATATATTCTTCTGTCTTATAGGACCTCCAAGGGGAAATTGAAGCTCACACAGATATCTATCACAACCTGGATGAAAATGGCCAGAAAATACTGAAATCCCTGGAAGGTTCAGATGATGCTGTCCTGTTACAAAGACGTTTGGATAACATGAACTTCAAGTGGAGTGAGCTGCGGAAAAAATCTCTCAACATTAGGTAGGAAAAGAACAAAAAAGACAGGAATGAAAATGGAAAAAAAATTCCCTCGTTTTCTTAGCACAAGTAGCTGATATCTCATATGTTTATGTAAATTACCCAATTTCAGAATGATTCATTTTATTTTGAATAAATGAATCATTCATTTGCTTGGATGTAGATGATACTTGAGGGTTCAGATTAGATTAAAATGGTGATGTTTTATAACCACAGGAGAGATGCATATTAAGACATTAGAGTGAATTTAAATGAGGAACACAGCTTTCCTAATTTCATAGAGTTCTCTCTTGGCTTATTTGCAGGGTTAGACCAAAAAATGTAAAAATAATGTATATTTGTTATGGAATTGTTTCTTTGGTATTACTCTAAATGCTTAACAGAGGACATTCTTTAATTACCATAATGTGTTATAATTAACAATTTTGAGGAGACCTCTCGCTAGTACAGGCACCTTAGTAACTTCCTATCTGTTTCCTCTCCAGTAGCATCCTCTCTAATTTCCTTACCACATTCTCTTTGGACAAAGCCCCTAGCTACACTTTATGTCCCCGTATTGTATTTTGCCCCTGATATATATCAACTCTCTTGAGAAGTTAATGGATGCATTTTGACATTGGTATAAAGAGAACAGAACAAAGCTCTGATGTTCCTGTTTTTGCAGAAGTTCAACAGGAAAATGGAAGAGCAAAGATCATGAGAGCATTTCCCAGCATTCCTAAAATGACCTTTTAAGTCCAGGGAGTGGAATTCTACCTTTGAACCAGTACTTTTCCTAATTCATCTCACTTCATAGCACTACTTTCTGCTTGCTTCTATGTAGAGAAGAGGGCTGGTAGTGGAGGAATGCAGAAGAGGATAAATAGGCTTCCTAGTAGTTAAGAAAAATAACCTCATTATTGCAGGTACTTATTACTACTAGGTCATAAGATTACAGAAGGAAGTTATGTTTCCTTCTTGACATATTTTCTAAGCTTTAAAACAAATTGGATGTGCACCATATTTATTTCTACAATGGAAAAGAAACAGAACTGAAATTTGAAAACATTTTTGCTGTGAAAATCTATACTTAATAAGAAATCATGCTAGAGACTCCTGCTTCTATGGTGGTGCCAAGTACTTTCAGTCACCTGAGACTTTAGATTTGTTGACCTGTTCAATGCTCTGAGCAGCAGTAAGTGATAAATTCTCTTTTAATTTTCTTGGTATTTGAAGAATGTGAGGTACAGAGAATCTTACTACCTTACCGAGTGTAGCAAGCCCAAGATATGAACATAGAGAATTTGAGCTTTTAGTGGTTTTACTGTACCATTAGGTATGAAGGAAGAAAGAAAATATAAGATTTGCCTATCTTTTTCACAAAAATATAGTAAATCAAAGGATGAAGTAGAAGCATATTTCATGAGTAGAATCACGACAAATCACGACCATCCTGTGATTCGTCGATTGCCTTGAGCAGGCCCCAGTAACGTCTCCTTCATCCTAGCCCTGAGATTTTTAAGAAAGTGCTATATTCAAGGCTCTTTAGGAGAATGAGACCCATCATTGTTACTGGTATTTGGCATATTGGGTACGCCACGGAGAGTTTGCCAGACTCTGCCGTGTGGGCAGGTTACAGGAGTAGAAAAGGATTTGATTTTATTTATAAGATTGTTGCCTCAAGTATGCCGCTCATCTACGTCTTTGGCCCATCCAAGTGTTGCTGGCAGTAACAATAAGCATTTTAAAAGCTAGAGAGGCCCTAAGCACTTTCTGCAGCTTAAATCTTCAGAGTGTGTATAATAACAAAAGCCAAATTTGTAGTCTCTGTCATTACAAGGAATGAAACATGGGAGTTGGAAAAGATATTGTTAGATAAAGAAAAGTAAGTTATGCTTTTTTGTAGAAAGAAAAAAGAAAGGTACTAAAACTGTTCTGCACATCACTCAGTGCCTTTTCTCTCCTTCATGTGAACTTGATGAAATATAAGGAGAATTGAAAGCGGCAAACAGCATGTCAGCCAAAATATGGGCTCTTCATTCTCAGCAAGTTCCCATATGCCAGCTACTGCAGTTTAATTCTTACTGTCATTAATCAAGTAGAAAACAGTTACCTTTGCTTATCTAAGGTGCTGCGAATTCTAGAATTTATATATTCATATCAATGGTTTGGGCTTTTCAATAGGCCTCTCTAATAATTCAGACTGTTATAAGCAAGCTCTTAGAGGGGAAAATAGAGGAAAATAATTCTTGACATCCAAATGATTTCATTTATTTCCTGACTTGTGATTAAAATAAAGGTAACAGCCAATCCATCCTGAGTGGCAGGGTACAGTTGAGAGAAGCATAGGTAAAGTAATAATTTGAGATGGCTATGAAATAGAACATATGAACACCAGAAGGGTTTAGATATAAGACCGTTTATGGCACTTGCAAATATATATTACATACATTGCAAGGTAGTCAGCAACTCCATGTGAGGTGTTTTATAAAAGTTATCATTTTCTTTTTAAAAAATCCAGTTAGTGGACTGGAGAGATAGCACAGTGGGTAGGGCGTGTGCCTTGCACGCGGCCAACCCAGGTTCAATTCCCAGCATCCCATATGGTCTCCTGAGCACCGCCAGGACTAAATCCTGAGTGCAGAGCCAGGAGTAACCCCTATGCATCACTGGGTGTAACCCAAAAAGCAAAAAAAATCCAGTTAGTTACCCAAGAAAAAAATTCCTGTTTGCTCAAACCTATCATACTAAAGAATTTTAGAGGTTCAGAAGTTCATTGTTTTATAAGGATTCCTCAATGCATTTTTATATTTCAAGAAATTTTTTCAAAAGCATTATTTTTCATGAAAAAATTGAATCCAAATGATTTTGAAGTTGCTCTTTGCATTAATTGACTCATAAGAGGTATCCTTCGCTTTCAGCTCCACCTGCATTTTATGACCTTCCACTGATTTCCCTTCTGTTTTGTAGCTTTTTCTCCTATGATTACAATTTTGTTCAGGCATCCACACATCCTTCCTTCCATTTGACAGATTCAACATTTTCCCCTTATTTTCTTAGACAACCCATTACACAGTTACAAGTATACTCTTTCTTGAACACGGTTTATATCATACTATTTGCTTTGTTGAACTTACTGATGTCATATTTAGTTTATTCCTTTTTTAGTTTTTTTAACATTTTATTTATGCTAGGCACTCTTTTAGGCACTGAGATTCACACAGTGAATGAAATAGGAAAAATAAACCATTAATCTCATGAAATTTGTATTTAGTCTCTAATATCCAGCAGCTCTTCTACTCCCTATTAACTGCCTAATAAGCCCAACTTAATCCCTTCCCTTCTCTGCTCTTTTGCATCCCCGTTCTTACCTTGCCAAGCCCCAATATAATTACTCCTTGACATTGGATTCTATGAGCCAGATACATTCTGCTTTCTACTGTCCCACAGTTTTCTACTGTCCCACAGTTTTCTCATCCTACCATATGCATATGTATATTTGCTGGTCCTCTCACCCAGAACACTATTTCCTCCCAGCATCCAATTTTTCACTCAAATTCCAAAATTTGAATTTTTCTCCGTAGACTCTTTCTTCACCATATCATTCCTGTGCTATTTTCATTTACACTTGATGTCAACTTCCTTTAAGTCCTCATGAGTTTTGTAGGTTTATATGCTTGCTGACTTGAGCAAAATTGATTGAAAAAAATCCCTAAACTCCAAGCTCTAAATCAGGTTGAGTAGAAAGAGTCTGCTACTAGATGGCCAATGAGATTTCTCTGGCTCTATTACTAACTGCCAAATATAGAATATTTAACAAACCGCCTGTCAGCTTCATACTTGCACTGAAGTGGGGAGGTTTGAACAGAAACCTGGGTGGTGGTCACTTCAAGTTCCCAAAACAGTTTTTCAATTCTAGTTTCAGTTCTGCAAGCACCCTTTATGAACCTTGCAAATTACTGAACTTTTCTACTATGGCTATTTTTTATACTTAAATGGAACTAAGTACAAAAATAAAGTGTTTAAAAGAAGTAAATAAGGTATCCCTAAGAAAAAATAACAATTGAGTTGTATTTTTTTATAATTTAGTCTAAGGAAAATCATATACTATGCACTGCACATATACTACCAAATTACAAGTGCCCAAGAAATAAAAGTAAATACTCAGGGATAGGTGAGTACCATTAAAGAAAGTAAAATGTTAACTTCTTTAAATTGAAGGAGAAATAAAGTGAAAAAACTTACTTACATGTTAATACTCTTGGTAGCTTGCCGGGCTCTCCGAGAGGGGTGGAGGAATCGAACTCAGGTTGACCCGGTTGGCCACATGCAAGGCAAATGCCCTACCCACAGAGCGATAGCACAGCAGTAGGGCATTTGCCTTGCACGCAGCCAACATGGCCAACCCGAGTTCGATTCCTCTGCCCCTCTCGGAGAGCCCGGCAAGCTACCGAGTATCTCGCCCGCACGCACGGCAGAGCCTGGCAAGCTACCCGTGAAGTACTCGATATGCCAAACACAGTAACAACAAGTCTCATGATGGAGGCGTTACTGGGCCCGCTCTAGCAAATCGATGAACAACGGGAGGACCATGACATGTTAATATTCATGGAGCTAGAGAGAAATTACAGTAGATAAGTTGCTTTCCTTGTATGCATGAAACCTAAGTTTGACCCTTAACACCATAAAAAATTCCCTGCGCATCACCAGGAATGAATGAACTATGAGCACAATGCCAGCCATATGCCTTGAGTACCACCAATGTGGCCTCAAAACAGAACTATGTGGAGACTAGAGAGAAAGTACAATGGGTTGGACACTTGCCTTGAACATGGGAAAACTGGGTTCATTGTTTGGTTCCCTATATGGAGTCCCATGCCCTGCAGAGGAGTGATTCTTGAGTGCAAAGGCAGGAGCACCACTTGATGTCCAAAATAAAACAAAACATGCTAACATACATAGATACATATTTGCATATATACCTATATATATGTATATATATATACATATATATATATACACACACAGAGTGATTGGTGCAATCACCTAATCTCAGCATGTTCATTGGTTGAAAACAGTTATTTATCATTCTCAAGAAGTCCACATCCACACACCTTGTATTTTAATTTTAAAATATAAACACCTTTGAGAAGTAGTCAAATCAAGTTTTTTTATGTAAAAAAGCATGTATGAAGACTTTGATTTAATCCGATTACATTTTCTATATTGTTATATATACTATTAACTGAAGACCACATATCAACCTAATTTCAGCAAGATTTACATTCTGTGAGATATTGGGGGGAGATACTTATGTTATACAAAATTATACATAGAAAACTATACATAGAAAATTTTGAACCTTAATTTGAGAGTTGAGAATACCAGTTTTATATTATCTGGATCCACAATAAATCTCTTAAGGAATAATGTTTTTTAGAAGTTAGAGAGTTTTATATAAATAAGAAAGAAAGAAAAAATGTAGAATCTATATCTAAGAGTAAAACACAGGCTGGACATCAAATATCTTTGACCTTTTTCTTACTCTTGGTATGCTAATTATTTTTGAAAGTTGATGTTCCTGGCCCCTATCTGGAAAAAAATGTTTACTTCTCTTGAGTTTAATTTTCACTCTTAATTTAAAGCCCCATAGCTCCTACATTATTCCTGTGGTTCCTTATTATTTCTGTATTCTCACCTTTTCTGTCTGTTTACTTAAATGCTATCTTATTACACAAGGGCACCAAAGATATAGAAGAATATATCATATCATTAGTTTTATAAAGGAAGTCAGTGAAGAATGATTTCAATATAATACATTTTTTCTTTAAGAATTTTTGCCTTTCAGAGTAAAGTTTTATTAAGGATTTCAAACTAGGCATCAACCAAATCATATTTGAAATATTTGTGTCTAGAGAAATAACAATCAGTTTAGCAGCCCTTATGGTTCTTGGAGTCCTGACACCCAGGAGATCCTTGAAGACCAAGCAGCATATCCCAACACACCTAAAGGTTTTGCATTTTATCCAAGCCTTACAAGTTGTACAAATTATCTGCTTATTAAAGATCAACACTTGCCATGTTAAATGCTCATAACCCCTAAGCTCTTGTCATTGGTAATAAAGATTAATGGACATTGTATAGAAGCTAAATGTGCCCTTTCAAACCTCAGAATATTCTGTTGAGTAGGTACGCATAGAGAGAGAATATTTTCCAATTTGGAAAACCTTCATTGCTCAGATATTTAAAATATTTTATATAAGCCCCACTCTGCTTAAGGATTTCCTCGTATAATGTGTGTGATTTTCATTTTGAATGTCTAAATATGACTGCTCTAGTAAGATGCTTCAGCATCTGTCTTTATACCTTTGCAATTAAGGTTTCCTTCCATCTTCATAGCCTATTTCTCATTGCGTTTCCAAGTTCTCTTTCTGCTTCTCCATCAACTCTCTGGATTGGCCTTTGTCCCTGGCTTTGAAGAGCTCCCCTAGTTCTTATTATGGAGCTTTTTATATCCTTTCAAAAGGAAATTCCCTGGGCCTCATCAGATCTACTTTTTTTATTTCTTAGAGGAACAAAATGGTTTCATCATCCTACTAATAATTGGTCAGAACCTGCTTAACTTAGAATGGAGTTGAATGCTCACCTCAGAGATGTTTGTTTTCCAGACACAGGGATGCCAAGCATTTGACATCTTACATTCTACTTCATTTCCCCTCTCTGACTCCCCAGTGCCTATTGAAACTTAGGAGTACTTGATAAATATTTATTACATCATTGTTTCTTCTCCCATTTGCTGCTATGTCTGAACTAGGCTTCTTTCTATTTACTTTTCAAAATGTCCTGCTTTGCATGCTCTTTTACCCTCAAGAGGACCAAGGAGCAAATTTCAGACATCCCAGGAAATCCCTGTAACCAGTCTTCATTGCATATAATTTAATAACTAAAATATGGCATCAAGATTTCTTTGTTAGACATAATCATGGAGAAGTGATGACTAGAAAGGAGACATAAAGGGAGTGACCACTATATGTTATGCTATTTGCATAGTCATGTTTCTATTTCCTGATTCACTGACTGCATAATAATGTTCTCAGAGTTCAGAACTACTTAATCTCTCTGATGAAAATAACCTCGCTTTTATGAATATAATGTTATACCACTCACATTGGAAAAACCATTCTGAGCACTGGAGAAGGGTGAATATGAAATAATAAATCACCTATAAAGTTAACCTCTGGGAACTTAACTAGTTGTCTTTTTATAATTTTTTCATTTATTATCATGTGTCTGCATGCAAATATATGTAGGTACACAAAAGTTTTAGATTATTTTTCTTTCTCTATCCTGCTTTCTGTCTTTGCAACTGACAGGCTGATCTTTTCCACTTCTTTAAATATTTGCCTGTGTCATCACCTATAACAATACACAGGATTTAGAAGACTTGAACATTGCAGTATAAGTTCACCATTACACATGTCAATATACAGTTCCTTAGTAATGAATATTTGAGTCATTTCTGCTTTGTGTCCATCTTAAGAAATGCAGTAAATGATGGTTTTATACATATATCTTTGCATTCTTTTTCTATTTAAGTCTTTTAATTTAAGCTGTTATTGCATTTTCACATTTAAAAAACTTCTACATGTCACAATATTATCCTTATGAAAGTTTGGAGCAATATAATTCTCAGTACAGACTTGGTGATTCTGTTTGACTAAGCAGAGCAGAATTGTACATGAAATGTCAAGTTAAGTTACAAAATGGCCAGGAGAAATGTTGTTCTACACAGTCACTTTGTATTTCAATTTGTAGGTATAAGAAACTAGATTATATTCTTGGAGTTGGCAGCATTAATTTTTATTAATTAATTAGTAACTGCTTATAATGTTTGAGTAATATGGCACCTGTGTTGACTTACCTGAGGATAGTGCTTTGCTAACATTCTGTGCTTCCTCTATTTTCTAGATAATGATTTATTTTATTCGTTTAGAGTCTCATCCTCAGATGAAATGTAGATTTTATAGCACAGATCCTTCATTTGTATATTCTTAAATGGCTTCTACAGATTAACAAGCTCCAAATACAATTGATGGTAAAAGCACTCAATCTACTGCTTAAATTATTCATGTTTGGAGGAAGCTTTCGGGCAAATGTCTGATTTTACTTTTCCACGTGAGTTGTTGTATCAGTACATTTTACACAAAGGAAACAAAGCAGAAAATGTTGGGACTTGGTGAAAACATATCCCAGGTGCACAAGAATAAAGAAGGGTAGAGGGAAAGGAGAAGCATATGGGGAGAGGAGCGAAAAGGAACAGATGCCATATGGAAGGAGTCAATGGAAGAGCTGCCTAGGGTGTATAAATGGAAAAGTCAAAATGTGGGGAGAGACCTTTCTATTTCTCAAAGTAGAAAGAATTCCAGTACTTGTATGAGTCACTTGAAAGCTGAGTGGTTTTTATTAGTCATTGGGTACAATTTTTTTAGCAGAAACAGTAAGAATCATTGACTGCGACTCTTGGGGAAAGCAATCTATTCCAGTGTGAATTTCATGCCAAAAAGTGTCAGAATTCTGCATGTGGAAATAAACATATGGCTAAATACTGTTTTTCCTCAAAATTGCCATCAATATCCTCCATTTTGTGACTCTCAAAAGCCAGGTTTTTATTAAGGATTGCTCTGTAGTTCATAGCACATTTATTCACTATGGAGCTCATCAAGCCCAAGAACCTTTAATGGCATCTGTAGAATCCTCAATGGTGCTTCTTCATGTTCTGACATCATTTGCTTCTGTTATTTTTAGGTCCCATTTGGAAGCCAGTTCTGACCAGTGGAAGCGCCTGCATCTTTCTCTTCAGGAACTTCTAGTGTGGCTGCAGCTGAAAGATGACGAGTTAAGCCGCCAGGCTCCTATTGGAGGCGATTTTCCAACAGTTCAGAAGCAGAATGATGTCCACAGGGTAGGACATTTGTCAGGGGCACACTCAGTGTTTTGGGGGGATCTACCTCTGGTTCAGTGCTTGGGGAGCACATCTGTCAGGCTTGGGTATCCAGGAGGTGCTAGCGATAGAAACTGGGGCCTTGTATGCAAAGTATGCATTGCAGCTCTTTGTGTTATCTCCATGAACCCTGGTGGGATATTGTTAAACTAAGTCCCTTGCATATATGAAACATTCAGTGACTGCTTGGAAATTGCATTTTTTTTGTAAAGCCACAGTGTTTTACAACATTTCCCATAGTTGAGCTTTAGCACCAATCCTACCACCAGTGTCAGCTTCCCTCCACCAGTCTCCCCAGGTTTCCCTCCCACGTATCCTCTTTGACCAGCACATTTTTCCCCTTTTTTAAATCTGTGAAACACCATGAGGTACAGTTGTAAACTTACAAACTTTCGAGCTTGGGTTTCAGTTATACAGTGATTGAGTACCCATCCCTCTACCAGTGCCCATTCTTCATCATCAATGATCCCAGTAGCCCTCCCAACCCCCACCCCACCCCGCCTCTGTGGCAGGGTATTCCCTTTTGCTCTCTCTTCCCTTTAGGGTGTTGTGGTTTTCAATAGAGGTATTGAGTGGCCATCGTGTTCGGTCTATAGTCTACTGTCAGCACACATCTCACATCCCGAGCGAGTCCTCCAAACATCCCTTACTTGGTGTTCCCTTCTCTATCTGAGCTGCCTTTTCTCCCAGCATGTGAGGCTGGCTTCCAAGACATGGAGCAGACCTCCTGGTACTTATCTCAACTATTCTTGGGTGTTCGACTCCCATTCTGTTACTTTATATTCCCCAGATGAGTGAAAACTTTCTATGTCTGTCCCTCTCTTTCTGGCTCATTTCACTTAGCATGATACTTTCCATGTAGAACCACTTGTATGTAAATTTTATGAATTCATCTTTTCTAACAGCTGCATAGTATTCCATTGTGTAGATGTACCAAAGTTTCTTTAACCAGTCATCTGTTCTCAGGCATTCGGGAATTTTCCAAATTTTGGCTATTGTGAACAGAGCAGCAATGAACATAGAAGTGCAGATGTTTGACCGGCACGTTTATAAGTTTAGTTTTATGGTTTGATCTCCTGATTTCAATGATATTGACTCTGTAATTTGGTTATATTGCTATACAACTCTACACCACCAATGTATCCGTGGCTCTTGACTTCTGCCCTACCCCCCAGCCTCTTTACTTCCTGGCTGCCTCTTCTTGCTGCAATGACTATTTTTAAACCTGTTTTCATTGAAACTAAGTTGAATAGAAATCCTTTTTTTGCTCTTCTAGTCCAATCATACATAATGCAAGCCATTATATTTTAAATGTCAAATGTGTCTGCATTAATACTAGCCTTTAAGAAATTGCCAGCTTCATTTGGTAATTTTTAAACATATTTTATTATGGAAAACATCGGACATGCACAAAAACAGGCAGAATCCTACACTAAACACCCACGTACCCACCAAGACTTCAAGCATTATCAATTCATAGTTGCTCTCGTTTCTGTACCTTTACCCTGTTCTTCTTATTTTGAAGCAAATCTCAGGCATGGATCATTTCATTCATAAATATTTGATAAAGTATCGCTACAAGATAAGTATCGCTCTGTAAAAGTAACCACAGTGCTGCTGTAGTACTTATAAAATGTTAATAGTTAGTTAAAACAAATACCCAGGCAGTGTTTAAATTTATTTGTCTCACATATATATCAGAAATGTTTTAACAGGCTTTTTGTTTTGTTTTGTTTTGTTTGGGGTTTAAATAAGCACTGAAATAAGGTCCACACATTGCAGTTGGTTAATTTGTTTCTTAAATGTCTTTTTAAGAACATTATATTTTGAAATAATTATAGGCTCTCAGTACATTGCCAAAATAGTAGTTTCCCTGTACATTTCACCCAGTTTCCTCTATGATTTTCTCTTATATAACTGAAGAACAACAATTAGAATTACTTAACATACAATCTATTTAGAAATTTGCAACAACAGCACAAAATCATACTAGTCACATTTCAAGCAATCACTAGCCAGATGTGGCCAAAGACTAGCATACTGAACATACTGAATTTTCAAATTTTGCAAATTTGATAATATTCACTTTCAACTTTTGGAGGGAAGACTATTTTATAGGTATATTCTTTTATAATTGGAAAGTACTTATGGCTTTTATTTTCATGGGGGAGTAATTTGCTAGCTGCTTATTGTCAGTGACTTAAAATTGCAGTGTGATAATTATTTTATAATTTCTTCATCTATTAGCTGGAATAAAATATATTAATTTATGCCTCTTGGAGAGCCCTGCAAGCTACTGAGAGTATCCCGCCTGCCTGGGCAGAGCTTGGCAAGCTCTCCGTGGTGTATTTGATATGCCACATACAGTAACGACAACAGGTCTCATTCTCCTGAACCTGAAAGAGCCTCCAATCATTGGGAAAAGATGAGTAAAAAGAAGCTGTTAAAATCTCAGGGTTGGGGGGAATAGAGACATTACTGGTGCCCGCTCAAGTAATTCAACGATCAAGGGGAATACAGTGATACAGTGATTATCTGGAATACTTTTATTAAAATAGTTTGTGCATTATTTGGGTACATGGTATATACCATTTATATTCGATATGAAGGTTAAGTGTTTCTATACTACCAGTCTTCAGAATAATGAGTTGGCTCTTCACTAGTGTCTTCTGACAGTAATAGTTTTTGCTTAGGCTTTGTTTTTTTCCATCATGTTTCTGTCATCTCTACTAGTGTCTGAGAGAAAATGTAAGAATTTCTTTTTTGCTGACCTTCAAATATTCTTACCTAGCAAAGTCCGTGGCATATAGTGGCTACTGTTACATATTTCTGAAGTGAAAACACACAGTATATGAACATGAATTTTAGCAACTGAGTAACTTGCTACCAAATGGGAAAAGCTTGACAAAACTGGTACAACTTTTTGTCTGTTTAGTATAATTCCTAATTTCTCCATTACACCTATCCCTTTATATTGTAGAAGACGTCAAATTAGATTTTTAATTTGGGGTAGAATATAACATTATTTTTCTTCTTTTTTTTTTTACTTTTGCCTAAATTTTTTTCCCTTTATTTTATTTTATTTTTTTTTAAAGTTGTAGATTTACAATTTTTTGTGCTTTGGTTTCAATTATACAATGATCAGATACCCATCCCTCCACCAGTGCCCATTTTCCACCACCATGGATAATATCCCTCCCACCCCCATCCCCCCATCCCCCCTGTCTCTGTGAACATTATTTTTCAATGTTCTAACTTGGAATAGACAAAAAAGGTAAAGGTAAAGGTAAAGGCCCTCCCGTTGTTTCTCGATTTGCTCGAGCGGGCCCAGTAACGTCTCCATTGGAGACTTTGTTGTTACTGTGTTTGGCATATCGAATTTATCACGGGGAGCTTGCCAGGCTCTGCTGTGTGGGCAAGATACTCTCGGTAGCTTGCCGGGCTCTTCGAGAGGGGCGGAGGAATCGAACTCGGATCGGCCATGTTGGCTGCAAGCAAGGCAAACGCCCTACCCACTGTGCTATCGCTCCAGCCCTTGGAATAGAAAAAAAAACTCTGGTGTATATGTAGAAGTGCACTCACTGAGGTGTATGAACATTTAAAATATAGTGCATTATGTTATATAATGAAATTACACTGAATTTCCATAAGAGATGTAATTTTTTCTAATTTCCAAGTCACTGGACAAGCATTCTGGGAGCCAGGAGATAAGAATCTAGTCATATTCTTCCATAAATTAAATTATGATTGCTACTTTGTTCTCAAGATGTAGATGAGGAATTTGATGAAAATAAATCCCTATAGTCCTTCCTGGTCAGAATTTTGTTATCTATACTGCCTTACCTGTAGCACTGTAGCCCTGTCCTCCCATTGTTCATCAATTTGCTCGAGCAGGCACCAGTAATGTCTCCATTGTGAGACTTGTTACTGGTTTTGGCATATCGAATACACCACAGGGAGCTTGTCAGGCTCTGCCGTGCGGGTGGGATACTCTCAGTAGCTTGCTGGGCTCTCTGAGAGGGATGAAGGAATAGAATCTGGGTTGGCTGAATGCAAGGCAAATGCCCTACCCATTGTGCTATCGCTCCACTGCCTTACCATCCCTGATTATTGGCATTGGTAGCCTGCAAAGTGGTAAAATGTTGGTGCTTGTTCTCAGACCTCTAACTCAGGACCCTCATCAGTAACATGTTTTGGGGAGACAATGATATAAAGTTATGAGTAATGTACATCAGATTGAAGTTTATCTCCACTTGGCTAGTGTGTTTTATTTTGGGTATCCAGCTGATACCTCTCTTTACTTATCAGGACTTGCAGAGCATAGAGAAGTCTATTCTTTACATTAGCTCTACTGTCCCTCTTCCACTGCAAATACATCACTAGCTCAGTTTACTTCCTGTATTTTGTGACTCTCTAGTGCTGGCATACCTACAATTTCAAAAGTTCATTTCTTTATCCTTTCTATGTTACTTCTGACCACCCTACAACCTACAGTGCAATCTCTACACTTCAATCTATGTGAAACTCAAGTGTTGAATTAAGTTAGTTCTCACTGAATCCATCTTTAGTGGCTTCTTAGTTCCTCTGGAAAAAGGCAAATATCCCCAGGAAGGACACTAAGGCCCCATCTGCCTAGTTGTTCAAGTCTTTTCCTGTCTTACTCTTCTTTCGTTTTTCCTGTACATATTACCTTTTTTGGTATTTTTCCACTTTTCCATATTCAGGTGGCTTTCTACGTGCTGATTCCTGTCTGTAAACCCTTTCTACCCACAACTGCCCCTTCCTAATCTCCTGACCAATATCAAATAATCCCTTGCATCTTGGCTCAGACACTATACAACCTTTTCCATAAAATTTGACAAGCTCACTATTAGGTATTTTCTGAACATAGCCTACTTGCCCTTCTCTCATTTTTCTCATCATCGTGTATATGCATGGCTATTGGATTAATGTCAGTCACA